GAACTAAGACGTTTAATTCTAGAATGCGCAAACGCAATCGCAAGTCAATAACATCCGCAAAAAAAGGTTTGGAGGCTTTGAGGTTTATTGACGAAAATGAAGATTTTTGAGAAAAATTCTTTATAAGTTATTCAAGCTTAGGTGAAAGACTCTAATCATTTTACGACTCTAATCATCCTCTCGATATAAATTAAAGCTAAAATGCTTATTTACATTTGTTTAGCATAAAATCGCGCATCGTTGTTGTTTATCCCGCATAGAAAACACCAAAAAATAAACTCGCAAAGATTTACGAGCCCTAAGGCGAGAAAGGAGATGAGTTCTTTAATAACTTGATTTTCCTTAATAATTTCTTTTGTTTTTGTTATTTAATAAAAAAAAAGAAGAGAGTAAAGTATAAATTAGAAAAAAGAGAAAGCAGCTAAATAAAAAACAAATAATAATTAATAATTAATTTTTTATTAAAATACAAAAAATTATAAGAAATGTTAAATTTTGAATTAAAAATTGAAAAATGTTTGAAAAGATTCAGAAATGTGTCGGTTTATGTCAGGGATCTATCGACCCGATTCCCAATTCCCGAAAATCGGGAATTTCATTTTGATTTCGGCTAGAACCTAGTTTATATTTTCATTTAAAAATCGACGTCGAAAACCGAAAAAAAATTAATCGAGCTAATTTTAAATAAATAAATATTTTTAAAAATTTTAAACGATCTAAGGAGTAATTTTGTGTCTACAAAATTCTAAAAAAAAAACTAAAAAGGAGAGAATATACGGACAAAAAAAAACGAGAAAGGATGAAATCTTACTCAAATTTTATTTGTTCTCGGGTATCATAATCAAGAGTTCGAGACTTTACATTAAATAGTTTTATAATATGATTGGATTTGGACACGTCTTCTTGGCAATGAAAAGAAAATTGTGAATCAAAAAAATAAAGATGAGAAAAATATTTTAAAGTTATAAAAAAAAGGACGTTATGATTTGTTTTATAGCCTAATAATTTTTAAACTTTAATAATTTGTAATAATTTTGCTACATACATATTGCACAATTTTGCAATCAAAAAACTTGATCTTTTTTCTCTCTCTTCCCCTTTAAATGCCCATATTCTATTGTAAAATTTTGCAAGTCCAAAAACTCGTTCCAACAAAATACTAAAAATATAAGCATTTATTGAAGGATATATTTTAAAAGGGGGAAGGGGGAAATGTACGTAAATGTGGAACATTAATAAAATAAAAATAAAATAAATTGTCGGAATGACGCAAAATTTTTTGAAAATTAAAAATAAATTAATTTATTGATGCCAAATTTATTTTTAATTTAAATAGGAGAAAATTGGATTTTTTTTTTATTATTTTGGAAAAATTTTTAGTACATTTTTTGGCTCATTTTATTTTTCTTTGTTTTTAATAAATGATAAATTAAGACAAAATTAATGTAAAAATAAACAGACAACTAATTTAATGTATTTAAAGATAAAAAAAATAATGTAAATGCTTATAATAAAAATTATTACTTTAAATAATTACTTATTTTGAAAAAAAAAGTAAAAAAAATTTTTGGTTGAATAATTATAAAATCATCTACATAGCCCCAATTTTTAGTAATTACTTAAGAATAGGGTTGCCAAAATGGACCGACTCGGACCGAAAGATCGAGTCATGCCTCGATGTTTGGCCCGAAAAAGTCTCGTACCTGCCCGACTCGATAAAGTTGGGCCCGAAAAAGACTCGTAACGGCCCGACTCGATAAAGTTAGGCCCGAAAGTGACTCGTACCGGCCCGACTCGATAAAAAGAGGCCCGAAAAAAATTGTCTCGGAAAAAGTCGGCCCGACTCGAACAAGACTCGATAATATTTTTACCAGATTTGTGGACAAAAATGGGAGAAATCTGGCTCCTTGGCCTTCCAAAATTCGAAAAATTTTCGCCTGCGGCGCAGAAAAAGACAGAAATTTGGTCCTTAGCCTTCCGAATATCTCAAAATTTTTGCCTGCGGCGCTGAAATGAAGAATTTTTAGCTCCATACTTTGCTTCACATCTCGAACTTACTGGCTTTAATCGATAAGCTGGATTACTGGGATTTATAGGATATATTCCGCGGGATCCCATCATCATTTGAACTTTTTAAACTCAATCAGTTTTGAGAGTCCACAATTTTCCAGGGGGTCAAAATTCTCAAAATTTTCGCCTGCGGCGCTAAAAATAGAAGAAATCTGGTTTCCTGACTTTCCAGTAAGCCCTTATTTAAATACGAATAGTTCAATCATGGTACACTGGGATTTTATTAAGGGATTTGGTGATTAACGCACAATATCACTTAAATCTTGTGTTATCCTTCAAATCTCCGATATCCATTCAAATCTCTTCAATCCTTTTAAATCCCATTACAATATAGCACCTTAATTATCTGATATGCGATCCTGATCCCCTTAATCATCTGATCTCCTTTAATAAAACCAAATCTAGCAATATCTCACACCAATCCTCCGATAATTTAAATCACCTTAATCCCTCAAATCCACTGATATCCATTTCAATTCTCTTCAGCCCTTCCTTTACCCTCCAGATCCATCGATATACCTTATAATTCACAGATATCCCTCCAAATCCACTAATTATTTTTAAATAAATCTTTTAAAAAAAGACTCGAAAATGTCTCGATGCCCGACTCGATAAAGTCAGGCCCGAAAGTGACTCGTTCCGGCCCGACTCGATAAAGTTAGGCCCGAAAAAGACTCGTATCGGCCCGACTCGATAAAGTAAGGCCCGAAAAAGACTCGTACCGGCCCGACTCGATAAAAACAAGCCCGAAAAAAAATGCCTCGACCGTCGGCCCGACTCGAAAACGGCAACCCTACTTAAGAATAAATAAGATAAACAAGAACTAACAAACTGTGCATTGTCATAATAAAAATAATTATACAATAGCGATTTACAAATAAAAATAACTAAGCGCGGATAACGTCAAACATTTTGGTTCGGATATATGTAGGACCATGTGAATTAGAAAATGAATTTTTTAGACCAATAAAAATAATTAATTAGTGTAGTTAATTAGAGTTAATTGAAAGGTATTTAATCACTTGAAAGTTTAACAGATTTTAAAAAATTAATCATTTTACCGAACAGACAATTTACCGAATTATAAAAATTAATTTTGGAAGCATAAATGATTTAAATTTAGACAATTTAAATAAAATATTTGTAAATAAAAAATAAATATTAAAGAAGCTTTTTTAAAAGTCAGCTGGAGAATATGTCTGACAGGAATAAATAAATAAATTTTTAAACCAAGTTTTTCTCTTAAAGATCTGCGCAAAGCAAAGAACAGAATGATTTGCGTGTTGCATGGTTTGCCCACAATTTGTATAAAGAAAATTTTGGGGGAGAGAAAAAAGTGCATTTGATGTTACAATGGTCAGTTTGAAGGAGAAAATACTTGGAAAATTGTGGGGAAAGAAAAAATAATAAGGAAAGAATTTGTTGAAGGAGGCGGAACTGCTTGCCTATTTATTCGCAAACGATTTGACGGAAATTAAATTTTTTCTTAAATGATTTGTCATTATTATTGGATAGTATTGGATAGTCTCAACCGATGGATTATAGCACAAACTTCGAGCAAAATTTAGGGAACGGGGTTTCCGAGGTCGTCAGTTTTAGGTCGGAAATTATCGTTAACGGAAGCGTGCTTGCTATCCGAGTTTTCCCCAAAATTTGTAAAATGAGCGAATGTATCAGCTGTTATCTTGTTTAAGTTATGACCAGAGATTGGGCAGAGACTAAACCTTGAACAAAATTTTGGGTAATTTTTCGAGGTAATCATAATTTTCTTTCCTCCCTGTCAGGTATCTAATCATAACCTTTGGCATGTATAAAATTTAACCAAAATTACCCCAAAATTAATCTTTAAAGCGAATATATGGGTGATCCAAAAATTACTAGATATCGGACAGTGACGAGATCTCGAACAAAAATGTAGGTTATCAAGACCGATATTCCGTACACCTTCCAAGTCTAATCATAACCATAGTCAGGCATAACAATCATCCCAAAGATTACCCCAAAATTAATTTTTAAAGCGAATATATGGGTGGTGTAAACGCGATTCACGAGAAGAGGATTAAGCATTTTCTCTCTTATTCTCTCAACGGCAAACGGCCGAAAATTGAGAAAAATGAAAAATCTGAGGAATAAGAAATTGTTGGAAGAAATAACCAATATAAAATATAAATGCTGTCAAATTCGATTGAATTCAAACTCAACGAGAAAAACCGGTATAAAGAATGAAAAATGCGAATATTTTTTGTTTTTATTCAAGCTAATAAGCGGAAAATTAGCTAAATTATTTTTGAATTTAATGATTGTTTTTCTGAATATTTAGAGTGATCAATTCAATAATTTCTTAAAAAGGGTCGAGAAAATTATCGGGCCGATGTCTAGACGGGTCTATATCTCGTGTTTAAAGGTTCAGATTTCAGGTCGCTCGAATCCTCTTGGGAGGTGGATATTTTGATGAAATATGGTGCCCATGAGTAAATGACTGCTCATTTTAATTTTAGATACTATGGCCATTTACAGGATTTAGGAGGCTTGAATCTATAAAAAGTGGTTAATAGACATTTAAATAGAGTACATTTTCAATTTTAAAAGTACATGGATCAGTTCAAAGCATTGCCCTTCCATTTAAAGGTCTAGTCTCTTCCCTGATGTATTTTGATATTGAAATTTCTTAAAAATTAGAATTTTTGTGAGTACAAAATCTAAAAATAAATTTAATAAAATAAAAAGTTATGGATGGTTTAAAACTTTTTGTTGACACATAGCGCATAATATGCGCAAGCACCCATAAAGATTTATTGAGCAGAGAAATAATTTTTATTCATGGACATAAAAAAATAAATTTTTTTTAATTTTAAATTGATATTAATATTAAAATTTATTTTTTATTAAATTAATTTTTAATCATCATATTAACCTTCCATTACTTATCGTTAATATGATTTTGTTTTTCCATCAATCACACCATCACATTTGACATACGTTAATGTAGCATTTTGAACGCTTCCTACAGACAAACTTTCGAGCTTCTCAAACGCAGGTTTTGACAATTTAGCGTGCGTTGCTGAACATTCGTCGCAGACATCTCTGACAGTACTGTGATGCTTAAAATTAAAAACTTAAAAAATCATTTAAATTTCCACCATTTCCCGTTGTAATTAACTTTAAGACAAACATCGCAAAGCGGATCATTTACTAAACTAAAGGTCCATTCTGTATTGCTAATAGCAACCAACAAATCATTCTCTGCATCAGTCGGATCTCCTACACAAAAGCCATAACGTAGTTCATCATAGAAACTGATTGAGCCTGTAAAGGGTTGGTTTAACTCCCATCCAATGTTAAAGCTTGAGGAGATAATTATTAAAAAAATAATGGTAAATAAATAGTGAATGGTGTCCTTGAGCATTTCTGGAATTATTGTTAATTTTTCCTTACTCAAAATGTGTAGAATTGCCAAACCTTTTTTAGTGGTCAGCAAGTTTTACACAGAACCTTATGAAGAGGGTTAGGGGCCGGTTTGTTCGTTCGAAAGATCGAATTGGACATCGAATTTTGTCCCGAAAAAGACTCGAACAGTCCGGTTCGATAAAAATGAGCCCAGAAAAAAATTACTCGAACATAGGCACGATTCGAAAACCCCAACCATTCTTATGAATAAAATTTAAATTATTTTACCACAAAAGGGTAGGTATCAAGGAATAGAACAGTTTGCCTATTCTACACAATTATTTTCTAATTGAAAATTTAATTTAATGATTAAATAATTTGTGTCATCGTGCTTTTATCCCCATTAAAATTTGTTAATTTTGAATGGAGATTGTTGACATGCTTCGTGGAATAATTTATCATCTTATTGTTATTTTAGGAGTCAATAATATATTTTTTTTAATTTTTATTTTTAATTTTTCTTTTTAAACAGTTACTTATTGCTTTTTATTTGAAGTTTACTAAGCTATAATTTAAAAATAATTTCCTCAATCAAACAATTTTTTAGATTTTTTCTTCGATGAATTTATTCTAAAAATAATAATAGAGAATTGTTTTATTAGGAAATATTTTTATGAAATTTAAGTTTATTTTGATATTTTTTGTGGTTGTTGTGATTTTTTATCTGTGATTTGTCATCTTTTATCAATTTAATTTTTATTCTTCATATTCATCTTCAATTACTTATATTTATACTTTTTTCTCGTTTCCATCTGTCACACCATCACATTTGACAAATGTTAATGTAGCATTTTGAACGCTTCCAACTGACAAACTTTCGAGCTTCTCAAACGCAGGCTGTGACAATTTAGCGTCTGTTGCAGAACATTCATTTGGATAGCAGATATCTCTGACAGGGACTGTGATACTTAAAATTAAAATTTAGAACAAAAATTAAGAATTTCTACCATTTTCCGTTGTAATCAACTTTAAGACAAACATGGCAAAGTGGATCTTGACTTGGAAATATTCCTGTTTTAAATAGTGTCGTGCTAACAGCAACTAACAAATCATGTTCTGAATCAGTCGGTTTTGTTACACACCAACCATATAGTAGATCACTATAAAAACTCAATGAGCCTATAAATGGCTCGTCTAACTCCCATCCATGGATTGAGGAAATAATTATTAAAAAAGGAATAATAGTAAACAAAAAATGTAAGTTGTGATTGAACATCTTTAAAGATAATGGTTACCGTATTTACTCGATTAATTCCCCCGAGGAATTATTTTTTCAACTTATCCCTGGCATGGGGAATTATTCGAGGGTGGGGAATTAATCGAGTAAATACGGTATTTTGAATTTCATTCCTTCTCAAAATACTGCATAATGTTCAGGCATTTTTAAATGTCAAGACTTCCATGAGATTTAAAAATGTCCCTCCCTATTAATTACCCTCTCCAGCGATTACCCAGGGTAATTATTCGAGAATAAACGTAAATGACAAAATTATAAATGAAAGGCTTTTAGAATCATGGACTACTTCACTGAAATCAAGCCTGTTAATAAATTGGACTTAAAGTAATATTCACTGGATTAAAATGTTCTTTTTATCAGATTTGAGAATTCCTAAAAAATGGACGGCATAGGAACTCTGACCATTATGCGCTTTTTGAGAAGGAAAAAAGGAAAAAATTTCAAAACTACCCAGTTATTTTCTAATCGAAACTTTTATTTTCTGATAAAATATTTTATGTCTCTTGCTTTTATTTCCATCAAAATTTGTTAATTTTTGTTATGATGCGTGGAATACATTTCTCATCTTATTGTTATTTTATTAGAAAATAATTTGTTTTTAAACTTTTTTCTAAGCATTTATTATCCATCATTATTTTATTTTATTTAGTTTACTAAGCTATTTTAAAAATAACTTTCTTAATAAAACATCTTATTAAATTTTTTGGCCTAGTTTAAGGGACTTCCCGACACTTGCGAGTTTAAATTTTGAGGATCCGATCTTTAGGATACGGCTTTTGAGGATACGGCTTTACATACATATTAAAATACACCTTCGAAAAACTAATAATAGTAGTTTTTATTTTTATAGTAGAAAATAATTTATGTTTAATGTTCTACAGAAGTCGAAAGAATAATTTAGATTAACAGAAATAAATATTAAAAAATTATCACAAATATTTTCATTCACAGTATAATCCCTCTTTACAATATGGAGATATATTCGGATATTTTTTAGGTTCCGGACCACCCAAATCACCAACATAACGTTCTTGTATTGACGGATCTAAACCGCAAGGGCGAATAAATTCTTGTCCTCTTTCGTGTATCCAAGAATTCGAAACCCATTTATCACCAAGCAGAACGGGACAAGCTGCATGCCTAAAAAGATTATCAGAGCTGTTTCGAACAAAAAATCTTAGAAAATCGGAAATCGAAAGCTCGAAACAGCTCTGTAACTAAGGTAGCAACCCGACCCCGAAGGGTCGGGTGTGTCGGGGATCGGGGTTGTCGGAGTAGACCCTCCGGGGTTCGGGTCTCCGGGGTTCGGGTCGGGGTTTTAGCCAAAAAAATCTGTCGGGGTCACGATCGGGGTTATCGGGGTCGGGTTGCTACCCTTGTTTAAAAAACCCAAACATTGTTCTTATATCTCCTTTTCCACTTCTCCACAAATTATACCAAAAAAGAGCATCATGCTTTGTTGGTTTAGCAATTGTTTTTATCTGATTAAAGATAGTAAATCCACCCTTTTCTGGGGTACTCAAATATAAAAGAACTGTCGCAATTCTATTCCCAATTCCCATATTTTGATGTCCTTTTGTTGCATTTACAGCTTCATTTTCCTACAAAATATATTTTTAAATCAAAAAATTTTTTTAAATTAAATATCAGAATTAGAGGAATGTCCGAATTTTCTTTGTTCATAAAAATCCATACAGCCTTATTATAAAAATAAACAGAAACTAGTTCCAATTAAATCCTCCTTTTAATTATCACGGTCTTGAAACTAGGAATCTTTAAGGCCCTACTTTGAGTTAAAATGGAGATCATCAGCAAGAGAAATTTATCGCACTAAATTTAACGATACTGTATTTATTTTGTGATATAAAGGTTTGGAGAATTTTTTAGCGCAGCAGAGGAAAATTTTGAGAATTTTATTAGACTAGAAGACAGATTTCTACCATATATTTTTGCGTTAATTTTGCCAAAAATAAAGCAACTAAAGCAAGTCTAAGAATTGAAACAGACCCTAGCAAAATCAAAATGAGGTTCATATTGTCCACCAATTCCATAATTTCCCATCTTTAAAATTAATTTCTATAATTAAATTTTTCAAATTTATTAATTTTACTTGAAAAGGTTCAGCTGACTTCATATTTAAATTAGTCATTAATTTTAAACGTTCAAATAATTGTTTAACGACTGGATGGGTGTTTGCGTTAAGCCAGGCACTTAAAAATTAATTAAAAGATAAATTTATATTTTAAGCCAAACTTTTTGCTAATTCTATATTTTGAAAGCATTGCTTCTCCCGTAGCAGCATTTTGAACCCTAGCTATCATTAATCTTTTTATCGCTATATTCTGCATTATTTCAATCTCTCCATCACCAATAACATTTCGAAATATAACAGCTAAAGGATCATATCGAACTATTTCAACTTTAATTGGGGCTAAACGAAGGAATGAGCAATCCATTTTGTAATAACAATAAAGCTTGGATATTTCTGTTGTATTCTGAAAATTAATTGGAAAATTTATTTTTTAAATAATTTTAGTGGGTCTCTCCTGTATATGTACAGCTAAGTATCTTAAATATATCAACATTAAATCTTTTCAATTTCATTATTATTCAATCGGAACTCATCTGCTTTACGTATAACCATCCCACCTATTCGCAAGCTCAAAAGGGTCAACGCAAATATAGGAGTGCGGAACGCGAAATTGCGGATCCACGGAATTGCGTCCATCCATGGTTGACGTCCTCACGGGAGTTAATGGTTGCTCGGCTTTGTAAGCAGTTGCATGGGTTAATTTGCACATAAATGGGGTGCTAGGAAGTTTGTTGGGGAAGTTTATTGTTCCTTCCAAACTTTTCATTCCCTTTAGTGCAAAAACATTCCCGATCAGGGCTGATCGAAATAAAAATATTTTTTATTTCGAATCGAAACGAAATAAAAAAATTCCTATTTCGTTTCGGACGAAACGAAACGAAATAAACGAAATAAAATAAAAATTAAAAAATATTTATTTTTCAGTTCATAGAAGCTTTTAATCGATATTTAAATCATAAATATGCACCTCAAGAGCTAGTTGCGTGACAAAAGCATACCATAAACAAGAGTGGGCCCAACAAATCTGACGATATCGACCTTAATCCCCTCAAATCTACATATATCCGCCATAATCCTCCAATATCCTATTAAAATCCATCGATATATCCAAATTCACTTTGGAGTATACCACTTTAGATATCGATCAAGAGGGATATTAAGAGGGATCTTCTATATCACTTGAGATATCATCTATATATTTTCTATATCCACCTCTCAAAACCAACGATATTTCCCCGATATTTCCTTAATCTCGGCAATACCACAATAACACCGTAATCTTACCAAATCGCCCGCAATATCACTAATCCCTCGAGATCTCTTTTAATCCTCCGCACAATGTAATAAAAATTTTAGTCGGCAGGTCAGGTAGTATTCTAAAGTGGATTAGACTATATCCCCATTAATCCATTTAAATTAACATATATCTGTCTTAATCCACTACGGAGTATACCACTAAGGTATATAGAGGTATATCTAGAGGGATATTTTTTTAGCGCCGCAGGCAAAATTTTTTACATTTTGGAGCTCAAGAAGCCAAATTTCCTCCATTTTCAGCGCCTGCGGCGCTGAAAATTTTTTAATTTTAAGCTGTTTTTATGACAGAAATCACTAAAAAAGTAATGATATTTTCCATAAATTCCCGTCATTAGGGGTGCATTTTCTCACTTTTTTTTTGTTTCGTTTCGTCCGGAATTTTGGTTATTTCGTTTCGAAACGAAACGAAATAAATTTTTTTCTGTTTCGTTCCGAAACGAAACGAAATGGAAAAAAGGGCACGAAAGAGCGAAACGAAACGAAACGAAATTTCGATCAGCCCTGTTCCCGATGTTTAAAATAAGATTCTAGATATTTAGCTTGTACAATAAGATTGGCAGATAGTTGGAAATCTTCGGATATCCGGAACCGAAATTTCGGATAACCGGCCTCTTTTTAATCGTTATTGTACAAATAATAATAAAATGTTAATGTTTTCTTTCATATATAGGGCCAGAGCTATATCCAGGGATATCCCCATTTTTAATTAACAAACAATTTCTTTTTCACCACGACAGAGTTCTTCATAAGCTTTACGGTATGCAGGAAATAAATTAGAAGCATTATTCGTTCTTGTAATATTTAATGGAGGTATATTTATACGGAAATCTTCTTTAGCAACTCCATTATCCAGTAATTCTTGTTCAATTAATTTTGAATTATTTGTTGCATTTGGATATAAAGGATCTTTTAAGGGAAAATATTTTTTTAAAAATTTAATTTTTAACAATTACCTAATTCAATTAATTTATCATTAATAATTAAAGCTCTCTTCAAATTTCCTTGCTTATATAAAGAAATTGACAAAATATTTAATATATCAGTTTTATTTTGTGTAAAGTCTTTTTGTGAATAATAACGGTCATTTGCTTCTTCCATCCATAATATTGAATGATAATAATCCTTTTTAAATTAATTAATATTTAAATTGCAAATTAAGCGCCTATTTCTTAGTAATCGAATTGAAAATGGGGAGGGGATTTATCTGATAGACCTTCAGTCTTCGGGTTGGGGTTTTGGGACGTGACCCTTCAAGGTGTGTGGACATAATATAGGATTCTCCATGTTAAAAAAGCACGAAAACTAAATTAATAATTATGGTTGGTATCAGTAGAAGAAGTTCCATAAATGTCCACAATTCCTCATCCTAGCACCGTAGGCGTTTTGTTTTTGAAGACCAATAAACAGTTGTTGGTATTGGACATTAAGTGGCTTTTCAATCAACAAATCCTCTTACTTTTTTTATTTGCAAGTTTTTGTTGATTTTTCCGAACCCAGTAGGAATTTCCTAACTCAGAAATTCTCCCTTTTAGTTCGCAGCGAAATTTTTATGATTTTCAAAGCTATGAAAATTTTAACCTTATCATTATATGCAGCAAGACCTATTTCGTAACAATCTTTAGCTAAATTAAATTATTTTATATAATTTAATAAACAAAAAATCTAACCATCCATTTGCTTATTTATATTAACATCCTCAACAATTCCATTAGCCAAATCTTTAGTTTTTAAATGGTAAGTATCTTGTAAACGAAATAATCCTTGAATTGCTCCATTTAAATCATCCTTTTTTAGAAAAATATTTTTTAATATAAGGGAGATTGCAGGAAAAATAAAGGTACTTATCCGTTAAACACCTAAGAATTGAGTGACAGCCGATGCTGATCCGCTATAACTTTTTGAATTTAATAAATTAAATTTGAATTTTATAGCATCCTAAAGCCTTCGATAAACAGTATCTTTTTTACAAGTTGATGAATCAGATCTGATCACTTGTTAAAGGCTTGAATTATCGCTTGAATTATCGCGTTCTAACTTTATGAGTGATCAGATTTGCTCTGTCCAATCATAAAAAAGATATCAATTATCGAGGGCTTCGAATGAACATTCAAATGGGATTTGACCCAAAAAAGTTATAGCAAAAAAGTTATAGTTATAGCCGATTAAATTCGGCTGGCCCTCAACGGATTTTCCTCTATAAAAAATCCCACCTCATTAGGAAAACGAGTTTCTCTTTGTTTTGAAATATTTTTTAAATAATTTTCAGCCAAATCTGATTGAATTTCTTTCTTAATTTCTTTCCAAGTTTTTGTTAATTTTTTGATTACTCTAAGAGCAATTAAAGGATTCAAAACACTTTTTGGTTCCAATTCAAATAATTCACTTTTGTCTTTTGAATATTTATTTGCAATACTAAAATTATTTAAAAATTTATTAGTTAATTATCTCTTTATAAAATGTTTATTATTGAAAATCACATAAATTTCACCATCACAGGTTACCTTATCCTATAACCTGTTCCTTTTCAGCTCGAAACTTAACCCTTGAAGTTTTCTATTCCAAATCTACACCCGAACCCCGAGTTGACTTTTTTCGTAGATTAATTTTTATAAAATGGGGCAGATATTAAGGGGGTCAGAGAATAGTTAAAAAGAAACCCCATTATACCCCAATTCTTCAACATCTTCCAAATCACTTTATATCAATGAGCCTTCTGAAAATCCAAACGTAAGTATTTTGCACTCTTAACTCGACCCGACATTTTACTCAATATGTGACATCCATGTTCCCTACCCAGTCCCCACATATCACCTTCAATTAAGGTTATATCTTCATTTAAAGATATTATACAGCTTTTTACTATGGTAGCTCCTTGTTCTTACGTGGTTGAAAGTTGCTAGGAAGAGCATGTCGGGGTTCGTGGTCGGGTTTACTTTTGGGTCTGGGTTCGGGAGACGGGGAACTACCCTACTTTTTACTCTTAATTAGAGATTATTAATATCACCTCTACAAATTTAAATATTAATTTAATTATAAAATACCTTTTTAAATTTTCCAAACGTTTATTTTCTAATAAAATATAATTTTCTATAATTTTAGGAATTTCCTTTTCTACATGTACTAATTGTTGTAATTCTGCAGAAGATGTAAATAAATCTTGGGAATTAATTAATTTAATTGAAATAAATAAATTTATTAAATAAAAATACATTTTTAATTTAATATGAATCTTATTTTAATTTTATTAATAAAATTATGTGTTGTCTTTTACTTCTTTTAAAGCCCTTTCCTTCTTTAATAAAAAAATAAAAATGAAAATAAAAATTTGTTTGTGTGTTGGATTCTCAATATTTTTAATTTATAATTATTTTTTGCTTAAATGTTAGGTGTTACATATTTTAAAAAATAAATTTTGTATAAAATTTTTAAAAGTGAGGGACGATAAATTGGTCACCAAATGTAAATCCATTACCGAGCTTTTCAAAACTGACAGAGATTTTCTAATTAAATACTAATTATTTATTATTACACCCATTAAAGCAACCTCTAAATATCTAAACCTTGTACAAATTTTTAAAATAGACTCACTACCATTGGGGGACTCAAAACAGACTTTGAATTCTTCCACAAGATTTTAGTACATGGTCAAGTAAAAAGAGATCCGAAAGGAAATATTCTGTCTCCAATAACACTCAATACGCACATCAAATTCCACTCCAATACCATACTATATTTGCTTTAATTTAATTTTTTACTTGTTTTAATTCATTTTCAATTTTTCACATATTTTCACAAATAAAATAATTTTTTAATATTTCAAAATTTTAATATTGATTTACTTTCGCAACTTTAATATTTATTTTTTATTTTTTTAATTTTTACATTTATTGTTGGCTTTACCAAACTATTCTCTGTAAATATTTACATATTTTTCTTAACTTTTAATCGTAAAATTAAGTAATAAAAATGTATATTTTTTAGACAATTTTTATTTGAAAATATTTTTAATAAAAATCATCCAACACATTATTCTTTATTTTTGCAACTTTAAATAATTTTTTAAAGATTTTACGTGGAAAAAGTACATTCTATCAAAAATAATTCATCTTCCAAAGGGCATTTATTAGAAGGAATGGCCCCAGCTGGAGCGGACCATTGTATTTTTCGAAGAATACAATTTTGAAATTTGAGAATTTTTTTACTTGCAAATCCAATTGCCTCGAGCTTTGGATGAAAGGAAAACTGCATAAAAGTGAAAGGAAAACTTCAGGAATTGAATGTGAAGTCGAATGATTCTTTTTTTAACGGGTTGAATAATTAAGAAGTTTGAATAATTTAAATTTTTACCGGGTTCGAGTGATTAGGAGGATTTCGAAAAATCATGCGAGATATCTTTTAATTTCTAAGTATTGTAAGGAAGAGAAAGACATGTTAGACATGTACAACCTCGAAAAACTATTATCTAGCTCTAAAATTTAACGATTCATAATTTTGACTTTTTTCGTTTCGTTTTCGTTTCGTACATTGATGATTTTATTTTTTTCGTTTTCGTTTCGTTGAGCGCAAAATTTCATTTTCGCCCAGCTCTGGTTCCGGTAGCTCAGTTGGTAGAGCACCTGTACGTGGTGAGCGAAAGCGCCTAGCAATAACTGCCAAGAGGTCGCAAAATCGAAGCCTGCCAGGGATTAAACTTTTCCCTCGCTCTTACTGTATTAAGATAGAGTTAAAATTAAGAGGGATATTGATAATTAAAGAGAGTAGGGATTATGATGGATACTGTGTATTAGATATATCGGGGATTAAAAAGATATGGAGGTGATATTGAAGGATTTGTAAGGATAAAGAGGAATCAAGATGATTTGGAGGAAAATTGTTTGACTGAGGAAATCTAAAAAATTAAAATTAAGAATAGATAGATTATTTACTCATAAAATAACTGTTATTTCAGGAGAGTTATTATTGTTGCACTTTAATAACGAGTCCAAAACATTGATTCAAGGTATTTGGATGTCCTCAATCAAAAATTTTTTAGATTTTTCTTCGATGAATTTATTGTAAAAATAATAATTGAGAATAGTTTTATCAGGTTAATATTTTTATGAAATTTACATTAATTATTGATATTTCTTGGGGTTGTTTTATTCTTTATCTTTTATTGGATTAATTTTTAATTCTTCATATTCACCTTCAATTACTTAATTTACTTTGTATCCTCACTCCCATCTGTTACACCATCACAACTGACAAATGTTAATGAAGCATTTTGAACGCTTCCTACAGACAAACTTTCGAGCTTCTCATAGCCTGTGTTGCGGAACACTCAAAGCAGACATCTCTGACAGGGACTGTGATACTTAAAATTAAACTTACAAAAAAATATTTTCTATAAAATTCTACCATTTCCCGTTGTAATCAACTTTAAGACAAGTATGGCAAAGTGGATCATCAGGTTTATTTACATCTGTGCGCCATTGTTTATCGCTAATAGCAACTAACAAATCATTTTCTGCATCAGTATCTTTTGGTACACAAAAAGCAAAGTGTAGTTCATTATAGAAACTTAAAGAGCCTGTAAATGGCTCGTTTAACTGCCATCCAATGATTGGTGAGATAATTATTAAAGGAATCATGGTAAATAAATAATGGATGTTGAGAGTGACCATTTTTAGAGCTTTTTATTTTAAATTTCGTTCCTCTTTTCTTCCTCAAAAAGTGCATAATGGTCAGACATTCCAAAAAACATTTTTTAATCACATATGACCAAGCCTAATATATTTTCATAAAAATAAGCAGAGAAAATAAGTTCAGAATCTCGTCTAAAAACATGGATGCACGCAATTGCGGATTGCGTTTGCGGATTTTAAAATAAAAATTGCGGGTTTCGGATTGTGTTTGCGAGAAATTTTTGCTTCACATTCTCCGTCTATTATGCACTTTTTGTCGAAGAAAGGAAGGAATTTCTAAATTACTTATTTTATGATAATAGAAAATTACATTTAATTTCGTGTCCGGACAAAATATCGAATCGTTAAAATATGGAATAGGCTAAAAAAAGGGTTAAAATCTCGAATCGGGTAAAAATGGGTTAAAATCGCGAATAGGCTAAAAAGGGGTTAAAATACCGAATCGTTAAAATATCGAATTGATAAAATGTCGACACGGCCAAAATGGGTCAAAATGTCGAATTTTTTTAAAAAATGGCGCCAAAACCTAAAATCCGGGCGTTACCGTAATACCGACGGTATTTTTCGGTATTCCGTTTCGGTAGTACGGTACGGAATGCCGACCGATAAAATTTAAAAGCTGATCGGTATTTTTCGGTATTCCGTACCGTATACGGTAAGGTACAAAATTTAGGTCTTAACTAAAAACTAGTGACGCTACTCTAATTTTTCCGTATCGGGATCCTGTTGTGTTTTCCGGATCCGTACGATCATGCCGGACCGGATCCGGTCGATTATGCTTGATTTAACCGGTCCGGTTTTACTCCGTAAAATACACTGAACTCAGGAGAAAAGATTACGCCGGACTAAGACTTACCAAACTTTTCAACCAACTTATCAGCAGTAAGTTGATAGGTTGATAAAATTATCAACAATCAACGTATGGCACTCATCTGAACCTTTTTTAAAGGAATTCGACATTTTGACCCATTTTGGCCGTGTCGACATTTTATCAATTCGATATTTTGACGATTCCATATTTTAACCCTTTTTTACCCGAACCGATATTTTAACCATTCCATATTTTAACGATTCGGTATTTTAACCCCTTTTTAGCCTATTCGCGATTTTAACCATTCCATATTTTAACGATTCCATATTTTGTACCGGAGCCTTTAATTTACAAGTGATCAAACATTTACTCTCATGTTGTTTTTATCTCCTTTCAAAATTATTAGTTTGTTGTTGTGAAATAAAATTCTCATCTTAATGTTATTTAAAAAAAATTTATTTTTTATTTCCTTTTTTAAATTTTGTTTTCAATTTCATTTTATTTTTAATTTTTCTTTTTAACATTAAAAATTTATTATATTATATACTTTGAAGTTTACTTAGCTATAATTCAAAAATAACTTCCTCGATTAAATATTTTTTTAGATTTTTTAATTAAGGAATTAATTTTAAAATAACTAGCTGCTGAGTAGCAGGCTCGGTATTAACATGCTTTTGGTTAAGTATTCTCGGGGGAGCCGTTTGGTTTCATTGTATGTGTGGAAGTCGTTTTGAGGGCGCGTCCAGCGATTTACCCCCCCCCCCCCCCCCCCTCTTGGCGATTTACCCTCCTAATCCAACCCTCCTAATCTTTACACCAAATAACTAGAATCGATGTTTTGGACTCAGAATAAAGGAGTATTGATAATTACTCGAAATAAACCTGAAGTAATCTATCATTTCAAATGTTGAATGAATAAATAATCTATTTTTTGTCAAGTAGAGGAAATACGGTAGGTAATTTCCTCAATCAAACAATTTTTAGATTTTTTCGATGAATTCATTGTAAAAATAACAATAGAGAATTGTTTTATTAAGTAATATTTTTATTAAATTTAAATTAATTTTTGTTATTTTTTGGGGTTGTTGTGATTTTTTATGTGATTAATTTAACTTTTATTGAATTAGTTTTTATTCTTCATATTCATCCTCCATTACTTGTATTTATTATTTTTTCTCGTTTTCATCACATTTGACAAATGTTAATGTAGCATTTTGAACGCTTCCTACAGACAAACTTTCGAGCTTCTCAAACGCAGGTTGTGACAATTTAACGTGTGTTGCTGAACATTCATTGCAGAAATCTCTGACAGGGACTGTGATACTGATAATAAAAATCTTTAAAAAATTTTGCATTTAAATTTCTACCATTTCCCGTTGTAATCAACTTTAAGACAAACATGACAAAGTGGATCTTTACTTAAAGCAATATCTTTGTTCCATAGTGTAAAGCTAATAGCAACTAACAAATCTTTTTTCGCGTTAGTATATTTTTCTACACAAAAACCAAAATGAATTTCATTATAGAAACTCAATGAGCCTGAAAATGGCTCGTTTAGCTTCCATCCAATGATTGGTGAGATAATTATTATCAGAATAATGGTAAATAAATAATGGACGTTGGAATTGAACATTTTTAGCGTTCTCAGTTTGAATTTCGTTACTTTTCTTCCTTAAAAATTGTATAATTGTTAGACTTTTTTAATGGTCAGACTTCCCCAAAATATGACTTTTTTAACCTTTTTTTATCATATCTGGCAAGCCTAATGATATGTTTTCATAAAAATTAGCATTGAAAAGAAGAAAAGGAATCTCATTTCCACAACAGGGATGCAATTGTGCGTTTTTTGACTTACGGATTGTGTTTGTTTTCATTTATTTAATTGCGTGTCCCTGCTCCATATAGTAAATCAGCTGGGCTATAGCTATTTCTCTCCTTTAGCTAGTGCAAAAGGTTATTCGGCGGCTGGGAGCGAACCAGCATCTTCAGTAGATCGGACTGATGTGTTAGCCACGCCGCCTACTGCTTAGCCTTAGGAAATTAATAGCTATATGCTTTACAATATTTTCTGTTCATTATGCACTCTTTGGCGAAGAAAGGAAAGAATTTCTAAATTACTTATTCATGATAATAGAAAATTTCATTTAATTTATAACTGATCAAACATTCAGTCTCCTGTTGCTTTTATCCCCATTCAAAATTATTAGATTGTTGTCGTTGAATAAATTTCTCTTCCTTATTGTTATTTTACTTAAAAATAATTTATTTTTATTTTTTTTAATTTCATTTTATGTATTTTCAATTTTTCCTTTTAACAATAAACATTTATTATATTATATACTTTGAAGTTTACTTAGCTATAATTTAAAAACAACTTCCTCAATTAAATATTTTTTAACTTTTTATTTAATAAATTAATTTTGAAAATAATATATTAAGTATATGTCACAGTCCAAATTAAATTTGGACTGAAATTGAATTCGGATTGTGACATAGTATAGAGGGTACAACCCAAGTAGCGCAAAGCCACAACTTGCTTCAAGATTTCCGAATCCTACCAAATTTAGGATTAAACGATTTCTCTCGTCGGGCTAAAGAGAAAAAATTCTCTTATTCGACAAAATTACATAGGCCATAATTGTTTAATGACAGAAATACCGTAACTTTTCTGAAATACGCCACTCCTCTTTAACATATTCACTTAAGAAAGGGGTTAAAAATTTTCATAGGAAATCCACGTCAGTCCGTTAAGTTTAATTGATATCCTTGCTTGCCATTATTCTCTTATTCGATTCCATTCAAAAAGCAATTGTTGTATTCTGGATTAGTATAAAAGCACAAATTCAATGTTATACTCATTCCATTGTTATCCCAACAACTCGTCAAACTCACTTCTGTCATGGGGAAAAAACACAAAAAGCACTACAGCATCAATACCAACAGCACTCAACAATCAAAATGTACTCCATGTGTAGAAATAGGAATAGGTGGAGGAAGTGCTAGTTCGGAATCTGCAGAGTCTAATTCGCCGCCGCAGCATCAAGTAGTGGATATTCCTGACCAAAATACAAATGTTCTTGGCCAATTTCCGCAACAGGTGGTTTTTCATAAATGAAGGCAATATTATCAGTAGAGATCGGCCTGGGTCAGGACCAAGGCCTGGGTTTTACCTTCACTCAGAGTCCTGGTCCGGGCATTTTTTGACCTTCTTGGGCTTCTCCTGGGCCTGGGTTTTCCTGGACTACAGGTCCAGGATCCAGTCCAGATCAACAAATCAAACCCCAGAGTCCAGGAACAGGTCCAGACTTTTCAAAATTTCCGATCTCTAATTGTCAGTTTCTTTTTAGGTGTATTGCCCTACATGTGACCAACAAGTTCTTACTCGAACCAAACACGTTTCTGGTGTGCTTACTTGTGTGCTAGTCTTTCTTCTGCTGTTCTGCTGGTAGAACCTTCAAAAATTTAAAATTTCAAAAATTTCTTTTCAGTTGCTGCTGTGGTTGTTGTCTAGTCCCTCTATGCCTCGACGCGTGCAAAGACGTTGAGCATCGTTGTAGTCAGTGCAATACTTATATCGGAACATTTGAACGCACTATGCAGTGCGATAGTAAAGGAGCCGACGTGAAGAGTCGTGGACCTGCAAAGTCTCATAAGCAATCTGGGAACTCTTCTAAGAAACCTAAAAAATCTCCTAGTCAACCTCAAGTGAAGATTGTTGCTAATTGTGGTGTTGTGCATCAAATTTAGATTGTAGGAGAAAGAGGAAAGATAATCAAGTAGATAGGATACGTGATTTCGATATCATTTGAAATATTGTGTATTATATAAATTGTATTCTTGTAAATGTATTACCTCATCTTTTTTGTTACTGTTTAAATGCCATAGTACATACCAGAGGTGGGTCGAAAATTCAGAGGCTGTTCGAACAGTCAGAGGTGTCGGAAATCGGAACTGGCTCAAAAGTCGGAAAGCGGGAATCAAAATTTTTTCTTCGGAAATCGGAAGGAAAAAACGCCTGGAGTCGAAATTTCGACCCACCTCTGGTATATACTTAACTTTTTACAAATACAGACGGAAATCGAGGATTCGGTTTTATAAAAAAAAAGAGTAGAGTTTATGACAGCGAAAATTCAAAACAGTAAATTCTGTCGAAAATAAATATCACATTTTTTAACGTTGATTGAGACATGTACATATGTAATCCCCCGGGGCTGTATTTGAGAATTTATTGTGTATCAGGGCTGAGCGATTTCGCATTTTCACGTTCCGCATCATTCGCCTTTTTCTTTTTTGATTTTATTTTTTGATTTCGCCCAGCCCTATTGTGTGTATGTATTATTGTTTCCTGGGTTGGGAAAAGGCAACCTAAACAAATAAAATTGATGTCTTTCATTTAATTATTCACAGTTCAACACACTTTATCTCAAATATTTTTGTTTGCTATATAACGTTTAGTTTCTATTAAAATTTATTATTTCGTTATTCGAATCAACCATTCTCTCAACTTCTCTAGTTATTCCTTCCTTGTCTAAATAAAATTCATAAATCCTTTCATTTAAATTTGGATTAATTGAAGCAATAAAATATGTAAGTATACGGCTATTTGAGAGCCGTTCATTGTACGTTCATTGCGCTTTCGCTCACCTGTACGTGGTGAGCGAAAGCGCCTAGCAATAACTGCCAAGAGGTCGCAAAATCGAAGCCTGCCAGGGATTAAACTTTTCCCTCGCTCTTACTGTATTAAGATAGAGTTAAAATTAAGAGGGATATTGATAATTAAAGAGAGTAGGGATTATGATGGATACTGTGTATTAGATATATCGGGGATTAAAAAGATATGGAGGTGATATTGAAGGATTTGTAAGGATAAAGAGGAATCAAGATGATTTGGAGGAAAATTGTTTGACTGAGGAAATCTAAAAAATTAAAATTAAGAATAGATAGATTATTTACTCATAAAATAACTGTTATTTCAGGAGAGTTATTATTGTTGCACTTTAATAACGAGTCCAAAACATTGATTCAAGGTATTTGGATGTCCTCAATCAAAAATTTTTTAGATTTTTCTTCGATGAATTTATTGTAAAAATAATAATTGAGAATAGTTTTATCAGGTTAATATTTTTATGAAATTTACATTAATTATTGATATTTCTTGGGGTTGTTTTATTCTTTATCTTTTATTGGATTAATTTTTAATTCTTCATATTCACCTTCAATTACTTAATTTACTTTGTATCCTCACTCCCATCTGTTACACCATCACAACTGACAAATGTTAATGAAGCATTTTGAACGCTTCCTACAGACAAACTTTCGAGCTTCTCATAGCCTGTGTTGCGGAACACTCAAAGCAGACATCTCTGACAGGGACTGTGATACTTAAAATTAAACTTACAAAAAAATATTTTCTATAAAATTCTACCATTTCCCGTTGTAATCAACTTTAAGACAAGTATGGCAAAGTGGATCATCAGGTTTATTTACATCTGTGCGCCATTGTTTATCGCTAATAGCAACTAACAAATCATTTTCTGCATCAGTATCTTTTGGTACACAAAAAGCAAAGTGTAGTTCATTATAGAAACTTAAAGAGCCTGTAAATGGCTCGTTTAACTGCCATCCAATGATTGGTGAGATAATTATTAAAGGAATCATGGTAAATAAATAATGGATGTTGAGAGTGACCATTTTTAGAGCTTTTTATTTTAAATTTCGTTCCTCTTTTCTTCCTCAAAAAGTGCATAATGGTCAGACATTCCAAAAAACATTTTTTAATCACATATGACCAAGCCTAATATATTTTCATAAAAATAAGCAGAGAAAATAAGTTCAGAATCTCGTCTAAAAACATGGATGCACGCAATTGCGGATTGCGTTTGCGGATTTTAAAATAAAAATTGCGGGTTTCGGATTGTGTTTGCGAGAAATTTTTGCTTCACATTCTCCGTCTATTATGCACTTTTTGTCGAAGAAAGGAAGGAATTTCTAAATTACTTATTTTATGATAATAGAAAATTACATTTAATTTCGTGTCCGGACAAAATATCGAATCGTTAAAATATGGAATAGGCTAAAAAAAGGGTTAAAATCTCGAATCGGGTAAAAATGGGTTAAAATCGCGAATAGGCTAAAAAGGGGTTAAAATACCGAATCGTTAAAATATCGAATTGATAAAATGTCGACACGGCCAAAATGGGTCAAAATGTCGAATTTTTTTAAAAAATGGCGCCAAAACCTAAAATCCGGGCGTTACCGTAATACCGACGGTATTTTTCGGTATTCCGTTTCGGTAGTACGGTACGGAATGCCGACCGATAAAATTTAAAAGCTGATCGGTATTTTTCGGTATTCCGTACCGTATACGGTAAGGTACAAAATTTAGGTCTTAACTAAAAACTAGTGACGCTACTCTAATTTTTCCGTATCGGGATCCTGTTGTGTTTTCCGGATCCGTACGATCATGCCGGACCGGATCCGGTCGATTATGCTTGATTTAACCGGTCCGGTTTTACTCCGTAAAATACACTGAACTCAGGAGAAAAGATTACGCCGGACTAAGACTTACCAAACTTTTCAACCAACTTATCAGCAGTAAGTTGATAGGTTGATAAAATTATCAACAATCAACGTATGGCACTCATCTGAACCTTTTTTAAAGGAATTCGACATTTTGACCCATTTTGGCCGTGTCGACATTTTATCAATTCGATATTTTGACGATTCCATATTTTAACCCTTTTTTACCCGAACCGATATTTTAACCATTCCATATTTTAACGATTCGGTATTTTAACCCCTTTTTAGCCTATTCGCGATTTTAACCATTCCATATTTTAACGATTCCATATTTTGTACCGGAGCCTTTAATTTACAAGTGATCAAACATTTACTCTCATGTTGTTTTTATCTCCTTTCAAAATTATTAGTTTGTTGTTGTGAAATAAAATTCTCATCTTAATGTTATTTAAAAAAAATTTATTTTTTATTTCCTTTTTTAAATTTTGTTTTCAATTTCATTTTATTTTTAATTTTTCTTTTTAACATTAAAAATTTATTATATTATATACTTTGAAGTTTACTTAGCTATAATTCAAAAATAACTTCCTCGATTAAATATTTTTTTAGATTTTTTAATTAAGGAATTAATTTTAAAATAACTAGCTGCTGAGTAGCAGGCTCGGTATTAACATGCTTTTGGTTAAGTATTCTCGGGGGAGCCGTTTGGTTTCATTGTATGTGTGGAAGTCGTTTTGAGGGCGCGTCCAGCGATTTACCCCCCCCCCCCCCTCTTGGCGATTTACCCTCCTAATCCAACCCTCCTAATCTTTACACCAAATAACTAGAATCGATGTTTTGGACTCAGAATAAAGGAGTATTGATAATTACTCGAAATAAACCTGAAGTAATCTATCATTTCAAATGTTGAATGAATAAATAATCTATTTTTTGTCAAGTAGAGGAAATACGGTAGGTAATTTCCTCAATCAAACAATTTTTAGATTTTTTCGATGAATTCATTGTAAAAATAACAATAGAGAATTGTTTTATTAAGTAATATTTTTATTAAATTTAAATTAATTTTTGTTATTTTTTGGGGTTGTTGTGATTTTTTATGTGATTAATTTAACTTTTATTGAATTAGTTTTTATTCTTCATATTCATCCTCCATTACTTGTATTTATTATTTTTTCTCGTTTTCATCACATTTGACAAATGTTAATGTAGCATTTTGAACGCTTCCTACAGACAAACTTTCGAGCTTCTCAAACGCAGGTTGTGACAATTTAACGTGTGTTGCTGAACATTCATTGCAGAAATCTCTGACAGGGACTGTGATACTGATAATAAAAATCTTTAAAAAATTTTGCATTTAAATTTCTACCATTTCCCGTTGTAATCAACTTTAAGACAAACATGACAAAGTGGATCTTTACTTAAAGCAATATCTTTGTTCCATAGTGTAAAGCTAATAGCAACTAACAAATCTTTTTTCGCGTTAGTATATTTTTCTACACAAAAACCAAAATGAATTTCATTATAGAAACTCAATGAGCCTGAAAATGGCTCGTTTAGCTTCCATCCAATGATTGGTGAGATAATTATTATCAGAATAATGGTAAATAAATAATGGACGTTGGAATTGAACATTTTTAGCGTTCTCAGTTTGAATTTCGTTACTTTTCTTCCTTAAAAATTGTATAATTGTTAGACTTTTTTAATGGTCAGACTTCCCCAAAATATGACTTTTTTAACCTTTTTTTATCATATCTGGCAAGCCTAATGATATGTTTTCATAAAAATTAGCATTGAAAAGAAGAAAAGGAATCTCATTTCCACAACAGGGATGCAATTGTGCGTTTTTTGACTTACGGATTGTGTTTGTTTTCATTTATTTAATTGCGTGTCCCTGCTCCATATAGTAAATCAGCTGGGCTATAGCTATTTCTCTCCTTTAGCTAGTGCAAAAGGTTATTCGGCGGCTGGGAGCGAACCAGCATCTTCAGTAGATCGGACTGATGTGTTAGCCACGCCGCCTACTGCTTAGCCTTAGGAAATTAATAGCTATATGCTTTACAATATTTTCTGTTCATTATGCACTCTTTGGCG